AGCAATAATTGATTCTTTTTCTAAACAAACTTGCCACATGACAGATGACGATTCAAAATAAAGTTAATGCATTAGAAATAGGTATAAAAACATATGAGCATCACTAGTCTGTAAACCCAGATTCGTCCATATCGAAGAACCATTCACCTGCTTCTCTCTAGTCCCAGGCCAAATGGCGCATCCTTTGTCAGTACGCAAATCGTCATAGCTCTCATCACTCGCCTTGGTTCCGAATTCAGAACCAACGCAAGTGCCTTCGCTCCCTTCACACTTGTCTTCGATACAGCCAGCATCATCACCATGACTACTCGAGCTGGTATTATAGTCTTGGCCAACTGGCTTTAAAAAGGAGATGGCACTGGATTCGATTCCTTCATCGGTTTCGGAGGCGGATCCTGTAGTGGGAGCCGACATCTGTCGGCCAGGTGGGCTGGGCCGAGATGCTGGTGATTGTTTTGGAGAAGTCTTATGGCCTGATGCTGCTGGTTTAAAAGGAGTCTCGGAGGCTTGGCCATTCTTGAGAACAGAGGTATGGTCAATGTGCAAATCTAGATGATTTGCCTGATTCTGGAAAGTAAGCATATGATAGATGGAAAAGTTTGTCAAAATTTCAAATAGTTCCTCCATAGTCGAAGCAAGCGTACAATTTTCAGGAGCCTCTTATACATACCCGAGATATCTTCAACTTTCATCATTGGCGTATTTAGGCATCAAAGCTAGCTAGAGTTAAAGGCAAAAGTGTCATCCATAACATGATATCAGGCACCGTTATAAATCTGCTAAGAATTTAATTTTTCGTATGGCCCAAAATAAGAGTTAATAATATTGGCTAAATTATATAATTTTATGGTTGTTAATTGCTTTGGGAATGTCGAGAGCACATATACTGCCTTGCAAAGACAAATTCTAAGAAATAGTTCGCCAATACAAGGTGAATAGCCTAATTTAATCGTGAATGGCTTTTACACAAGTTAGTACGATGCAAAAACTAATATTTTAATTCATTAGTAGTTCAAGCCACCGAAAATTT